CTTGCTCCACAGTAAAAAAAAAAAAAAAGCAATATTACAATATTTGTGACTGTTCATGATTTGAGCACTTAGGAATGTACAGGGTATAAAGGTTTGGATATAACACCAAAAATATATGAGCTTCTCCATCTTAGATTATCTATAAGAACTAGGTGTGATTTTTATCATACCCAAGATAAAGATGAAACACTGAAGTTGGCAGCCCATAGTTTATGCTTTTTATCATCTCACAAAGGTTCATAAGGTGGGACCTTTGGTGACTGGCAAACCCATTGTGGCCAGAACTGAGTCTTTCTGTGAGCCTTTGGGAGATTTGATTAACAGGTTACTCCAACCCTTGGTGTGGTATGTATCTAGACATGTACGTGATACTAAAAACACATTATTCAAAGACTGGTATACAGCATATAGGATGTTAATATTAAGAAGTTAATCTGTGATGTGACATCATTATACTCTTGCACATGGTTATTTCAGGGTTAAATTAATATTAAACCCAAACCCCTAAGTAAATGTGGTTGCTGCATTAGTTTTCTTTTTTTAATTTAGTTTTCCTTAGTTTTCACCTGGTGGTCTGGCCAGTAATACATTTCCTGTCTTGGGTAACTCCACTCCATTGGAGGAGCTAAAGAAACACCTTTGGACAGCAGCATTGTCAATATGGGGATAGGGTAGTGTTAGATGCACTTGCAGATTTATGTGGACTTCACCAACAAATAAACACCACACTCCAACTAAGGCTGGATTGTTGTGAACTAAGTCAGAACTCAAAGATACTGATCAAGAGCCTCCTCTTCTGGAATATATGAGCTTTGACTACCATGTTGCCACTATGGTGACTTATCTACTTTGAGTCTGTATGGGCCCCCATTGGGAATTTGATCCCTTTATTTGGAGATTACACTTAAAATACCATTGGCTATTTTTTATTGTATCTGAATCTCCCACTTGGGAGGTAGCGACTTCACCTTGGCTTACTTATTTACGTATATGGAAAACATATACATGCTATGATATCCAGTTGATCCTACTGGCTGACATCATTCCACTAAAGATTAAAAGTGAGTTCCAATGTATTGATTCTTTCATATGTGCTCTTGAAGGAGGGTTTATGAAATTAATTGAGTCCACATGTGAATTGTAATCCTAAACATTTCGTGAACCTCTGTGGAGAGTATTTTTTTAATGTTGTGTAATAGATTTTAAATGGTATACTGTAAGTTGTTTTTTTTTTTAATATGTCCCACATGTCCATGGCTACACACTGTTTATAGTAATGCATGACTTACAAGGACGTAGAGATATAGCACACACAGACTGGGTCCTGCTCTCTTTGTGAAAAGTCCAGTCAACACCTTGTAAGCAGTTACAGCATCATTTTTTTTTTCCTTTTTGGGATAGTTTTTACCCAAATAAAAGCTGGTCATTGTAGGCAACCCTGGCAGTGTTAGATTTATCTCAACATTCCTAACTGCCACTTTTGTTGGCCATTTACTGGGCATATCAATAAGTGAAAATAAAGGAAAAGGTTTTAAAGAATGAAACTAGTGTAGCTACCACATTTAACCATTAGCCGCCCGGCCAATGGCCGTTTGGCGGCTTCAAATGTGTCTCTTCACTCCGGGTGCACGCCATTTGGCGTGCTCCCGCACATGCGCCGTTTGCGCTAATGCAGAGCGGCGCATGTGCGATCTGTCACCGGCCGTGCACCTCGGACACGGCCGATGACAGATCCGAGTACCGGCTCCCGTTGCTGGTACCATGTGACCTGCTGTGACCAATCACAGCAGGTCACATGACAGTTGTATACAATGGATGGCTTCATTCATGATGCCATCCATTGTATACTAGTGCCTAGCTGTGAATGGTCACAGCTAATCACATGCACATGTCATGTGATTAGCTGTGACCAAATCACAGCTAAGCACAAAAAAAAAAAAAAAAAAAAAGCTGAATGAATCGATTTCATTCAGGTAAATGCTTGCTTATGGCAAAGTAATTCTTTGCTATAAGCAAATTGTGTAAAAAAAAAAAAAAAAAAAAAAAAAAAAATACTGATCACTTCCCCAAAGTAGTACAATGTTACTATGGTAACATTGTACTACTTTGGTCATAGTAAAATATGAAAAAAAAATCTTAAAAAAATAAAAAAAGTACACAGTACTTAAGCACCTTTACTAGGCTTCATTTAGTGGGAGCACAGGTTAGGTTTTGTTTAAAAACGATCATTATCGTAGCATATTATTTCACAGAAATTGTATAGACTAGATGCATACTATGTAAGCAGTTTTTGTACGCTGCATTTTTTAAGGGAGAGATCACAAAGTTGTATTGTGAAATTAAAATTACAGTATAAAGTGCAAGCTACCGGCAGTGGTCCATACTTGTCCCTGGGGTTCACAACTCCCTTTGAAGAATGAGGGTTTTTCATTTGTGGATACAGAACAAACTGCTCATCCCTCACAACAACATGTGCATAATCTCTGCACTGTGCACTCTGTATATACACAGTATTTTATACTTGTATTAGGCCCCATTTAAAACAAAACCCCTACCACACATTTTTAAATAATAAAAACTAAGCTAAGCACAAAAAAAAAAAAAAAAAGCTGAATGAATCGATTTCATTCAGGTAAATGCTTGCTTATAGCAAAGTAATTCTTTGCTATAAGCAAATTGTGTAAAAAAAAAAAAAAAAATACTGATCACTTCCCCAAAGTAGTACAATGTTACTATGGTAACATTGTACTACTTTGGTCATAGTAAAATATGAAAAAAAAATCTTAAAAAAATAAAAAAAAATGTAATAAAATATTAAATATAATAAAAAAATAAAAAAAAAATATAAATATATATATATATATTTTTTTTCATACTGTCACCAGTCAGTGTCCCTGTTAACCGCCATGCCAGTTAAATGATGATGCTGTACTGCACTGGTGACAGTATGTAAAAAAAAAAATAGTGAAAATAATTTTTTTATTTTCCGAAAAATTATGACAAAAAAATACAACTTCAAAAAACTCGCCATGACTCTTATGAAGTACGTCGGACTGTCTACTCTGTAAAAAGGGGTCATTTGTGGGAAATCTGTACTGTTCTGACATTCTTGGACCTCAAGAAATTAGATTGGCTGTCAGCACTTCAGGATTGATCAATATTCAGATCTATACCATAGTTTGTGAACTATATATCCTTCCTACAAACTAAAAAATACATCCTAATTTGGGTTATTTTCACCAAAGACATGTAGCAGAATACATCTCGGCCTAAATTTATGAAGAACAATTATTTATTTGTAAACTTTTATAACAGAAACAAAGAAAAATGTATTTTTTTTTCAAAATTTTTGGTCTTTTTTTGTTAATTTAGCAAAAAATAAAAACCCCAGCGGTGATTAAATACCACCAAAAGAAAGCTCTAGTTGTGTGAAGAAAATTATAAAATTTTAGTTTGGGTACAGTATTGTATGACCGCGCAATTGTCATTCAAAGTGTGAGAGCGCTGAAACCTGAAAAATGGCCTGGGCAGGAAGGTGTAAAATTGCACGGTATTGAAACGGTTAAAGAATTGGTATGCTGCAATTACATTTTTGTTTGTATTTAATGCTATTTTAGGTCCTTACAAAATCATCTTGATTTTTATACTAAATACTCCTTGGATTTAAAGAATTTGGAAATAAAGAATTTTATTGATGTCAAGATGTCATGATGTCAAGCTAAGTCAGAAACTCATCGTGGCTGATTCAGTATAAAATACAAAAGGTGCTGTTTTAATAATATTTTCAAATAACTCTCCTGCTTTACTCTTTCTTTCCAACTTAATTTTCCTGGTTCACTGCAAGTTTCCTGCATTTACATGATATCTCACCCTATCCAATGTTATAACTTATTCCTGTGTGACAAAATTTAATTAAAGTTCTAGAAAAATAATTAGTAAGAATATCTGTAAAGGCAGTCGGGGAAAAAAAATCAATGTGCTATTGAGGAGAGAATAGAGTTAAAACTGTCATGAAAGATCAAAGTCATCAGGAACGTAAGTGAAAATTTAAAAAGCCAGCCTCAATGTAATGAAGAAGGATGGTGAAACAGCTGTGGTTTGCCGCCTCCTGGGTCTCATCTACAAGCTGATTTGACATGGAAAATTTCCCAGAAGTTGCTTAAAAATTGTGAAATTCCATTAATTACATAGCAAAGAATCTACTTTCTATAATTTATAATCCATTAGCAAACTTTTTGTGCTTGCCATTACTGTGTACATTTTAATTTTGTATGCTAAAATTGCAAGAGCATGTTATTTTATTCTACAGATGAAATAAACAGTCATCATTATTTAACTGTCTCATAGCAGGACATAAAAACAAACAAAAAAAAAATCAGCTTTGAACTAACACATTTTGTAACTATAGAATTCTATATGCACGGGTTTTTTTTCAGATAGTAGTATGCACATTCATGGCACTAGCACAGTGTTTATTAAAGATTCAGTCTACCATACACAAACACACAACCAGATCTTTATAAGTGTGACTAATTATAGCATTGCTTGAGTCAACCATATTTGAGGATTAGTGATGGGCTTTATGTTCAAGTCAAACATAAGTTCGACACGAACATTGGCTGTTTGTTCACTGAACAGACACGAATGGTAAGGGTGTTCAGCTGGCTAATCGCCCACCAAGCCGCACAATGCATTGCGCTCTGACAGTGCATTGTGATTGGCCAAAGCAATGCACCTGACCATAGGTCAGGTGCAATGCTTTGGCCAATCACAGCACATGATGATGTCACCTTGTGACGTGATCACAGTATTTAACCACCTCCCGCCCGCCATATAAAGTAATGACGGGCGCAAGGTGGTTCTCTCATTCTGGGAGGACGTCATATGACATCCTCCCATTCTAACCGCGCATGCACGGCTCCAGAAGCACGCAGCGCGGCGATCGGCAATGCACTGTGTCCGTCGGACACAGCAGATCACCGATCAATGGAAAGAGCTGAAGATTTCGGCTCGGTCATGTGATCAGCTGTGCCCAGTCACAGCTGATCACATGTAAATGGGGAAATGCCGGTTATCGGCATTTCTTTCCTCACAAGCTGTCACGCTGACAGCTCGAGAGGAGAGCCGGTAATCGGCATTCCTCGGAGGGGACATGTACACTGACCATCAGGGCACTAATGATCAGTGTGCCCTGATGATCAGTATAGCCCCAGCAGTGCCACCTGTCAGTGTCCATCAGTGCCACCTGCCAGTGCCCATCAGTGTCACATCAATGCAACATATCAGTGCCTACCAGTGCACATCAATGCCACATATCAGTGATCATCTGAGCTGCCTTTCAGTGTCACCTATCAGTGCTAGTCAGTGCCACATATCAATGCCAATCAGTGCCACCTCTCAGTGCTGCCAATCAGTGCCACCTTTCAGTGCCAGTCAGTGCCGACTATAATTGCGCATCAGTACCGCCTATCAATGCCAGTCAGTGCCACTTAACAGTGCCAGTCAGTGCCGCCTATCAGTGCCAGCCAGTACCACCTATCAGTGCCACCTATCAGTGCCGCCTATCAGTGCCATATATGAGTGCTGCCTTTCAGTGCCCATCAGTGATGCCTGTCAATGCCTATCAGTGCCACCTACCAGTGCCTCCTAATCAGTGCCCATCAGTGCTACCTATCAGTGCCCATCACTGCAGCCACATTAGTGCATATCAGTGAAGGAGAAAAATCACTTATTTACAAAATTTTAAAACAAAAACTAAGAAAAAACTCTTTTTTTTCAAAATGTTCAGTTGTTTTTGGTTTGTTTAGCAAAACATAAAAAACCCAGAGGTGATTAAAAAAAAAGAAAGCTCTGTCTCAAAAAAATTATACAAATTTTATATGGGTACAGTGTTGCATGACCACGCAATTGTCATTCAAAGTGCGACAGCACTGAAAGCTGAAAATTGGCCTGGGCAGGAAGGGGGTATAAGTGCCCAGTAGGCTAGTGGATAATAACTGTCATCACAGTGCAGCTGTCAGAAGGCTGGGAGTCAGTGTCAAGAGCAGTGGGTTTTTTTTTTTTTCGGATTGGCGGTGGTGGAAGACATTGTGATTGATGTAGGATCTATTTCGGGGAACCTTTTTTTATGTACAGCATACTCATTCACAGACCCCCACAACCACCTGCCAGGGTTGTGGGGAAGAGGCCTTTGTTCTCATCAACATGCCCATGCCCCAAAGCACCCCCCATTTTGAGGGCAAGTGGCCTGGTATGGTTCAGGGGGGGAGGGGGTGTGCTCGCTCACCCTCTTCCCTTTCCTGACCTGTCAGGCTGCATGCTCAGATAAGGGTCTGGTATGGATTTAGAGGGGACCCCCATGCCATTTAAAAAAAAATTTGTCATGGGGGTTCCCCTCATGGTCCATACCAGACCCAAAAGACTTGGTATGGATGGGAGGGAGGACCCAACACTGTTTTTGAAAAAAAAAATATTGTCAGGCAATACCGACAATTATTTTGCAATTCAGCTGACCCATACCAGACCCACTGAAACATTAAATAATGTTTCACTACTAAAATACCACATGACTTAATAATATAACTCATGCGGTATTTTAGTAGCTGAGCAGTAACTTACCGCATACTCAGATGCGGTAAGATACCACTCAGTAAATTGTCCCTGTCTGAAGTTCAACCACTAACTGAACATGGGGGTGTTCGACCCATCACTAGTGGGGATTCTGATGAGAAACTGAGGGTGATTTACTAAAGAATTAAAATTGTTTTGATTTTAAAAGTGGATGTTTACTTTATTAGTAAATAAGGAGAAGCTATGTTAATGTAGAATACCCAATTGTTTGAAATCAGCTTAAAAACACAGCTGAGATCTGGTTCCTGCCCAGCCAATTGATTGATGGTCAGGTGGGCCTTTTATCCCTCCGGGTGAACATCATATGTTATCCTCCTGGTAATGCCTCTTGTGCGTGCCCATTGATGGTGAGCTGTGTCTCTCGGACACAGCGCATCACCAATCGAGGTAAAGAGCCAATGGCGATGACTGTTTATCATGTGATCCACTGTGTCCAATCACAGCTGATCACGTGTAAACAAATGCTGGTTATCAGCATTTCCTTTCTTTAGCGCTGTCATAGCATGAGAAAAGGAAAGTCGATAACCGGCTTTCCAGTGACAGGAGGCATTTACACTGATAATCAGGGCACTGACTATCAGTGCCCTGATTATCACTGTAGCCCCATTAGTGCCACATATTAGTGTCCATCAGTGCAGTCCCATCAGTGCCAATCCATGTTCATCAGTGCAACATATCAGTGCCACCTATCCCTGCCCATCAGTGCTGCCTCATCAGTGGCCATCAGTACACATCAGTGAAGAACAACATTTGCTTATTAGCAAATTTTTAGAACATAAACTGCATAGTTACATAGTTAGCCTGGCTGAAAAAAGACAAAACATCCATCCAGTTCAACCATAAAAAAAAAAAAAAAAGTTATAATCTTATACCCACAGTTGATCCAGAGGAAGGCAAACCCCCCCCCCCCCCCCCCCCCCAGCAAAGCATGATCCAATTTGCTCCTGCTGGGAAACAAATTCCTTCCTGATCCCCCAAGAGGCAATCTGATATTCCCGGGATCAACTTTACTTATAAATGTTAGCATCCAGTTATATTCTGTGTATCTAAGAAAGAATCCAGGCCTTTTTTGAAGCAATCCACTGAGCTGGCCAGAAACCATTTTTTTCAAAAATGTCCAGCTTTTTTTCCCATTGTGATTAAATACCACTAAAGAAAATCTCAATCTGTCTGAAAAAAATGCTAAAAAACTGTAATTTGGGTACAGTGTTGCATGACAGCGCAATTGTCATTCAAAGTGCAATAGCGCTGAAAGCTGAAAATTGGCCTGGGCAGGAGGAGGTGAAAATGTCCAGTATTGAAGTGGTTAAATTTCACTGACAGACACATTTGACTTTTAGTTGACCTCCTTCTGACCTGCATTTGACATTAATCTAAGCTGAATCAACCTACTTCAAGTTGATTTTGCTTTACAACTGACTTGTTTGTAGAAACAAATATTTCTCAAGCAATCAAAAGCTCATCAACACAGGCCCTTACTGTGTGTGCATTTCATTTGTATGATAGCGCAGTATAAAGTTATGGCAGATGAGTGTAGAAAGATTTCTCACAACCAATTGTTCTCAGCAAGAAATCTTTAATTTCATGTCATCTCTATTGAAGGCCCCTTAATCCTATTGGGAAAGGGAGCCTTAACTGCAGTGAGCATGGCCTAGTGACAGGGGTGTGGTTAAAGGTATGAATCCAAGTGGGTTAGGATGATTGACTACTTGGGCACTGGGTGAAGGACTGGGCTTGAACTCTATAAAAGAAGAAAAGAAAACTCATTTGAAGAACAGAAAGAAAAGTTGCCCACAAGCCTGCCCTAATTTTCTTTTCTTTTTATTTCGGTTGTCACATCTCCCCCAGTGGCTTTTACCTTGCCAGCTTTAAATGTTTCAGGGCTATGCCCCTCAGTGGAAGTTCGACCAGTCTGTCTATCCAGTACTTATGGTGGAAACATGCCAGTTAAGGTTTCAAGAAGTGCTTATAGTACAACTGTGATTGGCACGGGTTAATATGTTCGTTTGAAAGATGTTTATTTGAAAAGTTAAAAAAAGATTTGGTCTTGCCCTTTCCAAATTAATCTGTGTGTTATTTATTGGGCAAGGTATTGGTAGTTATGCTTATTATGGTTTTAGTCCTATGCTCATCAGAAGTCAAGTTTCCAATACCAAAAATAATTATTTAGTAAGCTAGGCCCTTTAAAACTAATCTGATAGTCAGGCTTTGTATGGGGCATGTGTGGTGGGACTTATAGTGCCCAAGTTAGGACCCAGAGAGAGCACTTGCTATTGCCCCCAAAAGGTGAGCTGAGGCTACCAAGCAATGCAAGGCTGGCATTAAACATAGCACTCCAACTTGAAATTGATGTTTCTTCACAAGCATACATAATTATTACTTGTAATCCATGGCCCAACTTCTGTCCTGTTTACATTTTTTATTATCAGTTCTTCATCACATTTTATGCACACTCTGGACAACAGATCTTCAATATACTTTATAAGTCTTCTCTTCATTTGGTTGTTCAGCATTTCTGAGCCAGTACCACTGAACCTATAACAGACTCCACCAGTCCAGAAACCAGTCATCTCACTCCCAATAACATCAATTTGTATGTTTCTCATGAATACTAGGAAGCTAAACTTTCATTCCAACTCTTGTGACTTCCAGGCTGGGTCCCTATGACATCCTGTGCCACAATGCAGGACTCAGTATTGGGGTTCCAATAACTAGAGAAGGAGCCTAAGCACATTATCAGGGCCTTCTGCAACCTTTGCCAAGTCACTGCTTCCAGACTGTCTGGCTACTTATACACATAGACACAAGTACAGTAGTCATTACAACGGCAATATAGCCTCCTCTGAATAGCTTCAATGCATGTTAGACCTGTTTACTGTATCTTCTTTATCTTTTCTTGTCCCTTTGCCAAGTCATGTTCTTTGTGATATGCCTTGAATGTATGCACCCCTTAAAGATTGTCATCAAGTAAACATTCTTTACTTGATGTAAACATTCTTTACTGAAGTTGTTTGAAAAAAAAATACAAATGAACAGTTTAGCAAGTTACTGTATCTTCAATACAATACAATTCCTGTTCATGATCTTCTAAATGCCCCTTTGTAAGTATTCTGGTGCTCTTCAGTGCCCTTTGAGGTTGTCATACCTTAAATAGGTGAGAAAGTCCTAGAGTCCATTTACCAGTGGCATAAGTTCATGTCCTGACCCTAAATGGGCTCCTACAGGGGATGGTCTAGTGTAATAGTTCACATTTGCAGCAAAATCTCGTTCCTTTAAGTGAGGAGACCTGGAATTGAACCTTCAGCTGACTTCTGAGGCACCCCCAGAGGCGTGTTTTTCCTCTCATTTTCATATGTTTGGTCCGATAGAGGGTGGTGCTTCTCCTAAAGTACGTGAAAACCTGACCTGGAGTATTAATCCTTACCTCCCAGGGAGTACTATCTCAGCCAGACAAATATGCATTAGCAATACACATACAGTGAAGGAAATAAGTATTTGATCCCCTGATGATTTTGAATGTTTGCCCACTCACAAAGAAATGATCAGTCTAAAAATTGAATGGTAGGTGTATTGTAACACTGAGAGACAGAATAGCAACACTAAATTCAAAAGAAATGCATGTCTAACAAATTATGCACAGATTTGCATGTTCATGAGGGAAATAAGTATTTGATCCCCTTCACAAAACATGACTTAGTACTTGTTGGCAAATCCCTTATTGACAATCACAGGGGTCAGACGTTTCCTGTAGTTGGCCACCAGGTTTGCACACATCTCAGGAGAATTGAAAAGAATAGGTGCTGTGGAAAATGCTCTCAGTCAAGCACCTTAATGAAGGTGCATCTTTATTAAGTGAGATAAAGTAGCAAATATAATAAAATTTGACTAGCCTGAAGTGAACAGTGTGACTCCAAAGGACGGCCTGTCCGCTCTGAGGGGAGCTGAGATCGGAGAATGCTCCTGTCGGCTTTGAATCACGTGGTGGGTTACCAAGACGACATGTGTTGCGCAGTTGCGCTTTGTCAAGAGAGACTTGACAAAGCACAACTGCGTGAAACATGTCGTCTTTACTGAGAGCATTTTCCACAGCGCCTGTTCTTTTCAGTTCTCTTC